CGTAATGATGTCGCCGGGGTTTAAAGAACTGCCTTACAATCGTGCTTATACAGGGCGATTTTTTTAACGACTAGACATTTTTCTAAAAAAGACGTCAGAGTTACGCAATTGCGGTTTGTGCCTTATCTATAGTCATCAAAAACACCAAATCATTCATTTTTAAAGAGATGTAGTGGACGTGAAGTGGCTCACGGCGTCCTAAAAAGCCTAATTTGGACGCGAATCGTGTTACCACAATCTTTTCGGCCACCGCACTCCTCGCCCCTTCTACAGTGGCGTTGTCACAGCGATGCGCATGATTTGTCGCTTTAGCTTCATGGCGTTAGGCTGTGCCACGCGGAGATGGAGCCCACATAAAGTCAGAACTATATTTTCGCGCCCAAATTAGGAGGACGCCATATAATAAAGTATGCGCGTTACATCTTTTTAAGAATGGACGGTTTGGTGGCTTGCGATTATGGCCAACAACTTTCTAAATACAAGATGCCGTTTTCTTTTCTAATTAAAAGGTTAATTAGCCAATTTTAGGCAATCGGTCGGTTTTAGTTGCGTTCGTTATTGAACCTAATCCTCGCCTGGCCGTATAGCTCACCTACACAAACCGCAATGGCGCTAATTTTCACTGGACAATTTGGTGGCTTTCGATTACGCCCAACAACTTTATAAATCAACTATCCCGTTTTCTTTTATAATCGAAAAGTTTATTATCAAATGTTAGGTAATCAGTCGGTTTTTGTTGCGTTCTTTCTTGAACCCAATCTTCGCCTGGCCGTTTCGCTCACATCCACAAAACGTTAATTTCCACGTTTTTTTCTAATATCTAGTAGGTGAAAAAAAAATAAATAAATAAACGTTGTATATAAAATAGAGGACAGTTCTTTTCTGATATAAATAAAGCGTGGGGCACGCGTCTTGCATGCATCTCTTTTTTTTTTTTCCGGCCTATGAAAACAAATTTCGGGACATTCGAAATTGAGTTTATGATGGGGAGGGCGCTTTATCACGGGGTATTTTGTCATGTTTCATAAGCTTTATTACTAGTCAGAAGGAAGCCACGCGAGCCGCATCACGTTGCAAACAGCTAATTCGGATGTTTCTCAAGCAGCTCTAGAACTTTCCAATTGACATTTTTGTTCTTAATACATCTAAAAAAATTTGGTACTTAGTCCTAAACATTTAATTTATTAGGCATAATTAAAAATACTGCAACTCTCGCAAGACGTCTACCCAAAACATAAAGTTGGCTTAATGCATTGGCGTAAAGTGGCTGCGTCTTTCATTTTTATGCTTGGTCTTTAAAGATTCGTGAAAAGCATTCGCGACCTTATCTGTCAAGGCGCGTACACGGACAGCGCGGCCTCCTCGGCAAGTTGTTCCCTCATCGAAGACGACAATGAATAAAAGGTGCAATAAAAATCTTAATGCCTGAAAAAAGCGCAAGTTTAAAATAATTCTAAGGGTGTCAGTTGATTTTATTTCTACTATATTCAAATTTCAACACTCGTCGCGGGCAGCATGAAAGGAAGCACTGCACTCTTGGTGCAAATCAGTGCCCAGTCAACGGTTCTACACTCAAACACGCATCACCACCCGACCTGTTTGAAAAATAAATAATTTTCAGTAGTACTTTTGGTAGAAAAGGCGAATTTTCTACTGAGCGTGATATTTTGTGGACCCAAAAGTCCTGTAGCCGGGATCGGTAGTTCATAGCTTCAGGAAGACGAAGAACGACGGATGCATTATTTCCCGCGGAAGTACTGTTTTGAATTTGAATTCCACATAAAATTGTATATGCACAAATTGTGGCACGATACCGAACTTGCTTGATTACTTTTCTTTTAAAGACAACATAACCAGGCATAATCTACAGATATTGCAGAATTCATTTTAATTGGCGTACAGCGTGAAAGACAAGTATGTACATAAAGAACACAATAGAGCTCTGCATCTCTACTGCATTTCTTTCCGTACTTGTGGACAGTTAGTCCGCATGACTATATTCAAAAACTGCCAAATCGTTTAAGCCTACCCCTTTTTATAATTTTTTTCGTAGATGAATTGTGGCGAATCCCGGCTGGGTTCGGGTAAAGATCTCGCACGTGTTCAAGGACACATTTCGGCATGATTTCCCGCTTGGTGACGACGTTGAGCTGACCGCTGTTCCACTCCTTTTCTAAGTAGGCGGGGAACGCCAGACGCCTAAATTATCCAAGCAGCCCCAAAACTTGCGGTAGTACACCTTCCGAACTCCTGGGTTTTTTTGGAGATGGCCTTCGCCCACCCTGACAAAGCCCCAAAGAATTATGTAAGGGCTGCAGAGGCTATCTGGGCATTCCGTTTCTTCATCAGCGAACAAATGCGAACAGAAGAAAATGAAAACTTCGTAATACCTGCTGTCTTTTAATAAATGGCATAATATTGCTAGTGGCATAAAATTGCTAGTTGCACTATTTTACGCGAAGAAAATTGTGATTTTGCGGTTCTATCTTCGTGTTTCCCGTTCTCTTTGCTGATACGCAAGATATTTGTCGGGTGTCAAGTTTTCAGTTACATTTGTCGACAGAAACTAAATGCACGTTTGGCCACGAAGAAATTTTTTTCAAAGGCTGAAGATAGATGAAATATACCACAAAACCGTTTTAGTTTTTATGGAAGTTTGTTTTTACTCTTCTTAGTAGCTTCAACGAGGCGGCCGTCACTCTAGAAAACACCTGTAGTACGAACCTATATATTATGCCCCAAAAATGGTCAGACTGGGTCCCTCTGACTGCAATATCTTTGACTTGTAATTACTCATGATTATTACTTTGTACAAAAAACAAAACAAAAAAAAAAAACACAATAGTGATATAATCACTCTTCAGTGTGCCGTTTTTAGAACGACAAATTTTTAACTCTCTGGGTAGAGCTCAAAGTTCGGATAAAAATACCCATCTTTTTTCCTTCTGCTGTGATGTTCAAGTTCCGTTCACTCGAGATAAATATGCGGTGGTGTAGCGTGTGTGGCTGCATGCGAAAGTATCTGAATGTAAAAGAACTTGTTGTTGGGCTAGTTGGTGTTGACTATCTGAGTGTGTTTTAGAACTGCAGAAAAAGAGCAAAAAGAAAAAAAGAAGAAAAGCGAGCCAGCCCGAACCCTTCCGAGCTCATATCCAGCCTGCCTAACTAATCCCTGGTGTTTGGGATTGAAGCAGAGAACCTTGAAGGGTTACAGAGATTTTGTCGGGGGGCCGGTAAGCCCATTAGCACTCGTGCGAGAAGGCCATAAAAAGCGAGGAGGAAAATGGAGGAGAAAAGGGGAGGAGGAAAAAAAGAAAAGAGGGGGAATCTTCTGCCACGCTGAAGAAAATTTTGAGCCCCCGCCTTTAAGTTCAAATGTATACTGCGCTGCATCAAGAAAACATTGGTAGAGCGCATTTTTGGGTCCCCCATTTCGGGAACCTTTCCACGGAAGCCACTTATATTCACTACAGGCAGTAGGTGACACCAGCTACCACCTTATAATAAAACACGGAGCTATCGCTCATCCAGCCCTCGTCAAACTTGGCTAGGGACTTGTAGGTACCTAGTAGGGAAGGGCGGCTAACTTTTCACCGCAGTTAAAGTTAACCGGCTTCGAGCAAACGGGCCCTGGCTGTACTTGCGGAAGTCGATACACGCACGCGTACGCCCAGAGACGGGAACACTACGGCGCCTGGGATGCGTCTTTCGCCGGTGCGTTTGGCACCCCATCCCTCCCATACATCGAAAGTGGTCCCGAAGTGGCAGCCCTGACGTCACAGACGATGGCACGTCAAGCCGTTGCGATTCTGGAGGTTGGTGCTAGAAGTCCCGGCGAAACGCACGAGTGAATGCGAGCGTCGCCGCCGTTACGGGGTCCCAACCCGTTTGCCGAAGCTTCTGTGGACCGTCGAGCTGGACAGCAACCTGCCGCAGAACGGGCGTCTGCACTGCCCACCTTCGCCGCCGCGACACCGCAGAAATCGCGACCGGCGATGATGCGACGCTTCTACAACGTCGTCGGGCAGAAATCGAGGGACCACTAATACGGCGAGAGCCGTTAATGGGAACCTCCTTGGGAAATTGAGCAGTCGACCTTTGCAAAACTCACGGCAACATCGTCGATCGCACAATCGCACCCGGCCGTGGCCGCAGCCGCTTCAGAGTTGGTCGGAAAACGACGTATTTCCGTCCGTCGAGCCGGATTTGAATCTGCAGACCGTGGACGACGGCAGTCGTCTTTCCTGCAGCCAGACGCTCCACCGACCAAGCTATAGACGGGACAAATTACGGCGAATTAAAGGCGGCGTATATACATTCCATTTCTTTCTACCTTCAACGAAGCTTCGGCGTCTCGCAAGCCTCAAGTGTGCACGCGACGCCGGAGCAAGGCGAAAGGCGACGAGCACGCGCTGGACTTCGAAAGCGATGCCCTGCCATTCCCAGCTTGTCGACGACTAAAGACCTTTCCCTAAAACCGCTTTTGGCCGGTGCCATTTTCAGCGTTTGCGCGTAGGGCGCACAATTTGCTCGCTATTCGAAACGGCGAACACGCGCCTGCTAGGTTGTGAGGATCGTGCACTGGGCTGTGGATTTCTAAACATTGGAATGGTGTATGGAAGTGCCGGCTGTAGCCAACACCTTCGTACGCACGACTGTTCGAGCGGACGAACTTGCACGTCGTATTGCTAGACCCAGAAAAGTTGGTAGCAGGTTCGACAAACGCGACTTCAGCTACGGCGCGTTGAGGAGGATCGTCGCAGACGAAGATGAGGCGCGGGAGCAGAATCGAGAGAGTAAGCTAAAACAGCGCAAAGATCCTAGGGATTGTGCTCGAGAGTTGGTGCAGAAACGACAATGGCGCAGCAATGATAGCAAATTATGCAAGCATCTCGCTGCTGTTGTTGTGAAAGACGTTACGCGGTAGCGTAAGTGTACCCGGATTTTTAGGATGCAGTCAAACACACCGGTCGAAGACCCATCCTAAGCACCATACTCACGGTGGTTCCTGTGGGAGAAGCCGCGCCGGACTTGGCAGCCTTCTCGTCGGTGGGGGACAGCGATCTCACCGCTCCGCCGGCCTGCTGGGGCGCCACCACGGGGGACGCAGCGGTGGCGGCAGGGGTTGTGGGGGCCTGGGCCCTCGTGGCCGCCTGCTTCTTGGCCTCCTGGGCTCCCAGGGAGCTGGGCACGGACACGCTGCGAGGAGGCGGGGCAGACCGGGGGCCACTCGGCTTCGTCTCCGATGCCACTGCACGAGAGAAAGCAGCGGACCGGCGTTGGATGGCCAAGGTAGTGGGCGATGTGGCATTGAGTTTCGAGCAAAGTAAGCGAGTCACTGGGAAGAACATACTTTGAGTGAAGTGAAACAGGTGTGATGCGCTGTCAAAGTAAGAACTATTTAGGACAGAACATACTTAAAAGTACAGTACCTCACCTCGAGTGAATTAAATTAAACATGATGTACTCTCAAACTATGAAGTGCATAAAGAAGAACATACTTGAAAGTAGAGTACTATGCCTCGAGCAAAGTGAATTAAACGTGATTTACTCTAAAACTTCCAAGTATGTAAAGCAGAACATACTTGAAAGTTGAGTACATACACCTCGAGTGAATTGAAATTAATGTAATGTTCTCTCAGACTATGAAATATGTAAACCAGGACAAACTCGGAAGTAGTGTATCACAAAAAGACTATACTTACAACGTATTCATTCATTTTTTTTAAATTTTATGTGCTCACTAACGGCCAATGCCTTAAGGGGGGACACTGGCTAGAGGTCAAACTTTCGAACCACTCAAGTGATCGGAATGAAATTTGCAGGGGAGATTTAGCTTCAGATGTAGGTGTACTGTGCAAACTTTCAGCTCTCTAGGGCAAATTTACATACCTGCAAAAGACGATGTGCCACTTTTTATTAAGAAATCTATGATATGCAAATCAAATTATTAAGCATCATTTTGACTGCTTGAATATAAAGTGGGGGATATGGGACCTCGGGCTATCTAGTTTTAATAACTTAAATGTAAATATTTCAGGAAGAGTTATTACCTGAAACTATGAGATGCATATCTGTCCTCTGTCAATTTTTGAAAACTTAGTTTTTTATCACTGAGGACTTCAACCTAAAACAAAATAAAGTAGATAGCCCGATTCCTGAGTAAATTTCAGTTCAGAAACATCTTGATTGTGGTACCAGAATACTTTCACCTTCGAACAAAAGATTCCTTCGTATGAAATTTGCAGCAAACAGTGGAACTGAGAAAAATGCATTCAAACATTGAACTCCTTTACTTTGTTACTGCCTCACAATGTGTTGAAAATATTTTATATCAACGTAACTATTTGGCGTATGGTTATCAAATTTGGTGTAAGGGTGTATAATTAGTTTCTAAAACTGAAAAGCTCAAAATTAAAAAATGAATTTTTTCAAAGAAATTAAAAATTTAGGCCCATGTCCCCCCTTAATAGTGATGCTGAGCAGGTAGACAAAAGATTTGTCGGGAACAACTGAAGTGCTACAGAATGCGATTTATAAATGCAAATACTTGTTGCAGCGAGAGTGATAAAGGCGTGGTATGGGGGTCCTTGGACTAGTTGGGATGATTTTGGGATGATCCGATTGAGAAGGGAGGCTGGCGAAACTCACAAGCTGGCAGCATTAACACCAGTGTCACCCCCTCAACCAGAAAGGTTAAAAGACACATGCAAAGGAAAAAAAAATAATTTTTAAACAGCCTAGATGGAAAAAGAATGTCATAACGAATTTAAAACGAAGAAAAAAAACTTTTAGAGCTATATTTATTTACGGCGCAAAGCGAATTTCTAGTTGGCGCCCGCCGGAGCCGCCGCTGGTCACGTGGTAGACCTGTGCGCCACCATGCTGCGCCGCCCCAAAAGCCACGCCGCCGCTGCACGCTGAGTATGGTGCGCCGCCGGTTCAGTGCGTTTCTCCAAAAACTGCCGCTCTCGCCAGCATGTTTGCATTCAAATAAGGTCAGTTACCCTTCCAGACCAGCTGTACCTGTAGCCCAGTGGCTATAGTATCCAACTGCCACCGCACCAACCCAAGTTCGAGCCCCGCTGGCACTCAAGCTTTGTATATAAACTTTATCTATAACCTTAACATCTGTAACATTCCAAGCGTGTCACTCGTTCATGATGCACACTTACAACGCTTGCTATGAGGCTCGTTCATGACAAGTTTTTCATGAAACAGGACCCATAAAAGACATTTTCCATTAAAACTATATCACTTTTAGGAAGGCAAGTCGCCAAAGAAAATGAAAATGAAAGTTACGCACAGTTGACCGTGGTGGCGCTCGAAGGCATTCCATTGACCACCATCTGTGGAGACGCCGCCTCTGCAAACTTGGATGCGGACGAGAGTTGGTCCGCAATTTCCCTGCGTCGGTTGTTCAAGGCTTCCGCAAACCTGAACAAGCGAGACATTTCATTTATTAAATTACTTTTAGGGCCCAAAGCCATCACAGAGAGAAGTGGGCACTGTAAAGCACATATAAAAGTAGAAACAATGAAATGACAAAAATATAAAACTACTATGAGACATCACTGAACAAATTAGTAATTTCTAAAATTAAGTGTTAGTAAATGTAAGCATGACTGCGGGAAGGCGATTACAATCCTGTGTCGCCACTGGCTGCAATTGGTGGGAATATGCTCAAGAGTGTCCTTTTCGTCCAACAGTGTCTTTAGGTTTTGTTCATTTTTGGTAATCATTGGAAGCGTGTCCCTCCAAAATGGCAGTCTCCCCTGGCTTCACCTCTGGTGGCATCATGTCACCTCCAGAGCTTCCTACCTCCATGGTTGTGCACTTAGTTCAGGTGGTGCCTAGTGCGGGGTTTTGTATAGAAACAGATTATGTTACACCTTTGTCTTTTTGTGACACTGCATACACTTCCATTCAGCACCACCCAGATACAAAGCATTTGCACTAAATTTACTGGGTCACCAAGAGAGGGGAAGCACGTATTCCTGCCCTTTCCACTCCTCCTCATTTCGCACGCTCTTTCTACACCACCTGTTTCTGCTCCTCTCTTTCTTGCCCTTTCCACCCCTCTCCACTCCGCAGTTTCTTGCACCACCTGCTTCTGTTCCTTCCGTTTGTGCGTGCTGGGTCCGTAGCACAGTCAGCAGCACACTCGGTTTCCACGCCCGTGACAGGGATTCAGTCCCCGGCACCGGTTGCTGTTTTTTCCAAGATCGTTTAGCAGTTACAGACCAACCGACCTACACATTTCATGCCTATGCAGCTATTGAGGTTGGTTGGCCCAATAAAGCTCCCGCTTTAGCCCCATGCTCAGACACTAACTGTTTTGAATACCGCGATGTCAGCGTGACATCCTCATCATAACTACACCCTAGGCATGGACGTGAAAAACCCAAGAGCTGGCCATATAAATACTATGCATCTAAAAGTGTCTCCTTTCTCTATAGAAGGGTACACCAATACACGAAACAAAACCAAGCTAGCAGTCAGAAGCTTCAGAACACTCACAGGCATAGGCGTAGACTACGGGGGGGGCATCGGGGCTCGTGCCCCCCCTGGTGAGATCCGAGGGGGGGGGGAGGGGGGGCAGAGCCTGCCCCCCCTCCCAGGCTGTGATTTTTACCGAGACGCTGTTTATGTGCCATGTAACGAGCTTCTAGTAGTGGCATGTAAACAACACAATGCACACAGCGACGGACACATGGCGATATACATACGCTGTAGAAAGTACTCCCTAAAATAAACCGCTGATAATTGCCGGTGTAAAAAATATTGCGCGAAAAAGCACCCCCCCCCCCGGAGAACTTCTCAGCCTGCCCCCCCCCCCCCCCCCCCCCCCCCCCGGGAAAATGGAAAGTCTATGCCACTGCTCACAGGTCGTAGTTCTGCTCCTCGGATTCCTGCAGTATGTCCAGTTCCTCGTTGGTCGCATCTGTCTCGTGAGCGTTTCGCTCCAGTTGCAGCAGCAGAGACTCCCGCTGCACCACAGAAACAACAACATTGATTCAATATTTAGGATTCAATACAATATTTTCCCCCAAGTATAAACCATACCTCAACACAGTGCAACTATTACCTATACCGAGTTCCAAATTTTGCAAACATCAGCTCTGCCACACTGAGAGTTCATCATTAGTCAAGTAACGTGTATGTGGGGGTAAGCTTTCCTCAATATTTGATGGCTCATCTGCGAGTCTGTCACAATGATAACTGGTTCTATAGGTGGGATCGCTTTGAGTGAACTGAAGAGTACAAAGGGTTTTCTCAATCAGTTTCTAGATGCAAAAGAGAATATTTCCGAGTGATTATCTTCTCTGGGTTATTTTCACGTCGGTTATATTATTGTTGGGTGCACTGGGGGTGGTGTGCAAACTGGTATATTGGGTGCAAATGGTTGAGCAGGAGAATATGCTGAATAGCCTCTAAATGTTTTAAAGGGACAAGTTCAAAGCAAGCCAATCCCATTCCCTTTTATCAGAAAGTGTGATGCCACTTGCCTGAAGCTGAAGAAAAGGCAGGTTGAACCACTTGTACAGGAACTTGAGACCAAACCCATTGCGGAGAGATGACTCTGCATAACGGATCTGGGCGCTTCCGGCGGGTCTGCACACACAAAGCAAATGTGCGGCTGCTAACTCCAACACTGTCCTCCTCTCCAGGCAGTGAAACAACTGTTAAAATATTCAAAGCCCTGTTCTATATGTCAGCTATAGAAAAGGAAAAAAGAAGAGCGTTGACTTCACACATTGCACATCATTCCTAAAAAGACATTACATGAAAGTGATCATGCTGACAAATACTGGTAAGCATAAAATCTGTAATAGCTCTTACATGGAAGAATACAAGGGCATCTGAACGGCAGGGCCTAAAGGTTTGCTTTCATTTCTGGTACACACCATGAGATGGCACAGAATGACAGGAAAAACCGCAAAATGTGCGACCGCCACTGCCGCGCCCCGCACGAATCACTTTGCTTTTGCATGCTCCGACCCCTGACCCTGGATAGCTCGGTTGCCGAAGTACTTGGCTCACAATCTCAAGGTCTTGAGTTCAAATCCTGCCGGGGACTAGAGACTTTTTATATGGTTCCCTATAAGTGTAACGCTTTTCAGTGACTGTTTTTCGTTACAGCTGGCTGTTTCAGAAAGAACTCCATGGAAATCGTCTGATAAAACAGATTCTGTGTTAACTCTTTCCGTACCGCGCCCATAACCAACGATTTGCGAGCCCAATTGCAAAGCCTCTGATGCGGTTATGAACTTAGGACATCTGATGGTTAGAATATACACACTAGTTTTCCCTATATTGTAAAAGATTTATTTTTTGTGGGCTCAATATTTCGCGATTTCGGTCAAAGTCGGAGTTTTGGAATAATTCACGGGCCCTAATTTTCGCAACGCGGTGGGATCGCAATATACATTTTACATTTTAGCGGAATTGTTCGCGGGACCTATTTTTCACGAATTGTAGGCGATTCGCGGAAATTAGGTCTTTGCGAAAGTTAAGTCGTTTACGGTAGCTTTTTTTCCCCATGAGATGACGATCTATCATAACTAAACACGGAGACGAGAAAGAGGACTCCGCGCTGTGAACTTATCGCAGGATGTGCCTCCTCGGAAGCTTTTAAAGTCTCCCGATTCAAGGGTGTCTGCAGTCAATTTTGTTGCTGATACTAGCCTGAGTGAGTTGGGAGATGTCAAATCATCAGATTTTAGTTCCGACAGAGATGATTTGTCAAATAAGCCCAGAAATCAAAAACTGTGCTTCAATACGGCTTGTTTTGGTTTCGGTGTGGCTTTTCATCTTCTCTGCTGGTCTTGCGTGAAAGTCCAGGCGGTTTGTGCATATTGACAAAGGGAAAGGCGCACCGCTCGATGGATTCGACGTAGAAGCGCACTTGGTCCTCAGTGATGTTCCTGTGGTGCTTCATGTCTAGGTGATTGGCCAGCACGAGAACTGGAATGTTGTCAGGAACCTTGGGCAGCTCCCGCTGCACATAGTCGAACGTCCTGCAAGTGGACACAGGTCAAGGTCAAGCTCAAGATGTGCCCTCTCAATACCAAGAAAAAGTGCCAATGTAACCTTGCTCAACTCTTGCTAAAGCAAAAAAACAAATGATATAGGCTCGATCTTGCTGACAAAGACCAGGGAGCACAAAATCTGTCCCGCACAAACCAAGCTCTGCATGTCGTTTGTGCTAGTTTTTTTATTATTTTTACAGCAGAGCTGTTAAGGGCTAGTTTCCCCAATATCGTGTCTGTCAGAAAACAAATGATGACACCAAACTCTGGAAAGCTACCGCCATCTATGAGCGACAGCGGAAACCAGTCAACAGGCTTGCCGGTTGTCTGGTTGCCGCCATCGCTCATACATAGCGCAACCTTTCCAGCCTTTCCACTTTGGCTTGCTGACTTGCGGTCGGCCATTACTTCATTTCCACCATAGTACAGTACACATCAACGACATGCGAAGTCGGTTAGCCTAACATTCGGAACAAGGCAGTTCAACATCGTCTCGACTCGTTTTCGACTCGGATCCCAATGAACAAAAAAATCTATGTGCCTCAGACCAAAAATCTTCAGAGACGGAATCCTCAACGGCGAACACCTCTGGTGCGTTTTCACTTCCAGAGCCTACACCAATCATCAGGGGACAGGGCTCTGCCATGCCAAATACTGAACTGACATCAGAAAGTTCTCCTGAACCATCCTCCTCGTCTGTTCTGGTTCCTCTACCTAGAACACGCCCCAAGCGCATTACAAACAAACCAGTGTATTTTCTAGAAACTGATTATTTTTATCGAGAAGGGGGAAGTGTTTCGATGGGACTTCGTCGTCTTCATTCAGCAAGTGCCAAGATGCGTGGCCTCAGCTCGGGCCACGCCCCACGCACTGTTCCTGGTTGAGCTAGCGACTTATTTGCAGGGCTCGTAGCTCCCCACCAATCTCTTGCAGTCTTCTCTTGTAAATAATAGACCACCACTGAACAGCTGGTCTTCCTTCTTCACCAGAGCGGAAAGGATGAAAGTTTTTGTTATCTGTTTTCTCTTTTTTTTTATTATTATTTTATTAATTTTACTCTTTTATTTTATCCATTTATTTTACTTTTGTTTAATTTATTTTTGTTTATTGATATACTTTTATTTCTTATTTGTTTTATTATTATTTTTCCTCATATTTTTACCTTATTTTATTGTTTTCATCTAAAACTTGGCCACTCACACCGGCACGTTTGCATTCAAATAACATGATTTACATTTCCAAACCAGCTGTGCTACTATAGTAGCTCAGCGGCTATAACACCTGAAAAGCCACCGCACCGACCGAGGTTCGAGCCCCACGGGGGCTCGAGCTTTGCGTATAAACTTCACATATAACCTCAACGTCCGTAACACTCGCAACGCGTCACTCGTTCACAATGCCCGCTACGGCGCTCGTTTTCTTGTGACGTTTGATGCAACGTGGAGAGTGCAAATGGCGAATGCATGCTTTATCGAGGCTACGTTCCAGACTCGAACACAAAAGTGTCAAAAGCTGGCTTTGTAAATAGTATATTTAATTATTGTCCATGTTGAGCCAGTTGGTAACAGCCGTGTCAATCGACAAAGTGCTTGGCTGTTGAAACTAATTTGCCAATAGAAGATAGAAAAAAAAGGCCCGCCTACTTACTAAAATTAATGTGATTACCAACGCATACTGCAGGACTAGGGGACGAAATTCAGCGACTGTCAATATTCAAACAATATAATATATGTACCCCATTACAATTACCACATTACGAGCGTTACCGAAAAAGGGTTTATTATAGGAAGATCTCAGCTAACACAGCATGTTTGGTCAACAGTGTCGATGACGATTAGCGATTGGACAGAATCCGAGAGGATCTCGTTTTGGGGGCACGTTTTGGGGAGAGCATCCTTTTTCCACGGCACCGAGGCAAAGGAACAGATGTGACCGATCCCTTCCCTACCCCAATGCAAACAGTCACTTTTTGCGAGGACTGAGCAGGACTCTCTGGGTATTATCTCGGAAAAGAGTAGTTGTCAATGTTCACAAAATTGCGGCGAGCACCATTCGACGCTCTCCCCTCCTTCGTTCCCTGTAAATGTTGAGCAGAAATGCTTGAATGGCAGGCATTTCGCCTACCACTGAGCAGGCAGGATTCAACAGCTCGGGAGGGTGGCAAACAATTTCTAGCTGATAGGGGGCACAAGAATCGCAATTGTCGCATCATTATCAGCAACAGGGCAGCAGCCTAAAAGCATCTTTTCGGAAAGGTGTGTAGACCATTCCATTAATCGCCTTCTGCGCTGTATAACATGGTCCGAGCAAGCACTGCGACTCTCCTCCGCAGAACATCGAACACCGGGCATGCATCCACCGCCTAGTGACTCTGCATTTCTCAACCGATCGACGAGTGCTGGGAAGATGTACGGTGTGGGTTTGTGTGCAAATTTACCGAAAACAGACACATTGACTAGTTCCCTCCTTAGCTCCACACAGTAACCCCCAAGCAGATGACAGATTCGTCTCCCGTCGACTCTCAAGCACAGGCATGACAAAGTGACGTGGAATGCCGAATCCCTAAAAAAGCCTTTAAATATGTGACGAATGCAGGTGGACGTAATGTCCCCGCTTGCTCGTTACTAAAGGCCCTGGTGCGGGGCTGCCAGAGACGTGCTCACCACTGCTTGGTGATGTCCAGCATCATGATCACTCCGTTGGTTCCCTTGTACACGTCTATGAACTCCGCGTCGAGAGCCGGCTCCTCCGGCACCTAGAACAGACGTCACGAGTCCAAAATATGTAATAACCGGCAGCCAAACGCAACCAGTTTCTCTACTTCACCAGCTTCCACACATAAGCAGGGAGGTCAGGACCCATGGCCGCATAGAATGGAGCTCCGCTACACGCACTAAAATGAGCTTCAGCACAAAACGATTACATTTCGGAATTCCCTCTCTCGGAATCTAAAACTTACTCCCGGCACGGTGAAGACCCCCGAAACTATGGTGCCCGGAATGAGTCTTCGACTGGCGCGCTTAGTGTCCTATACCGCCCCGCCCGCGCACCAAATGTGGGAAGCAGCAACAAATTACGTCACCACCGCCGGCGCGTCACACCATTGAACGTTGCAACCTCGGCGGTAGGTCGTAGAAGTTTCGGCAAAGATACGAGCTGACGGAAATGTCGCTGTCGTCATGGCGTCCCAACTATTGATTGCCGAAGCTTCCGCAAACTGTCCAACCAGGGAGCGGCCTGCAGCAGACCAGGCTCCTAACGTACCTGCCGCCGCTGCTCCGCCGCCGCCGGAATTGCAGCAGCCAACGGCATGACGTGAGCGCGACGTTGGCGGGAGGCATTCAAGGGTCACAAATGGGGACGCGGTAACCGCTCCGATCAGAGAGTCATTCCAGGCACCGTAAGGAAACCAAAAAGAAATGCCTCGTCCCTCTGTGCGGAGAAACCGAGAAGACGGGAAGCAAAGACCTACGCCGGCCTCGGGGCTGCCAGCATTGTCGAGCTTGAGTCCCTCGATGGGTCGTCGCTTCTTGCCCTTGTCCACCACGTCCCACACTTCCACCTTCACCACGTCGTCCGTGGCCTTGTAGCTCCACTGGATGCTGGCAACCTGCACGGCCCCCAGCCTTCATTAGGAAGAGCAAGAGACTCGACGAGATAACCACACGTTGCAGAGCCACAACGTGCGGGTAGCGCGCGAGCGAAGAAAGTGTGACGGACGACACTGCGATTGAGGCATGGTGTCAAAACTTGGCCGAAACCCTCGACTCAACAAGGCAGTGGTCGCATAAACATGACAAGGCTGAAACTGTATCAGACCGTCCCTCGTCATTTTCTTTTCATAGTATAATAAGAGATCAGAACCTGTTGCCATCCTCGCTATTTTCCGTGTGGTCTGCACTGTATACTAATTCAATTATTCATGATCCTTGTCCCCGCTATAATGTACCAACATTTCAAAACATTTGACTTGAGAATCGTGTATAAAACCAAGACTTCCTAGTGCACTGAGAGTAAACTTAGAATGTTTGTACATTTAGTCAAAAACAAAACTCCACAAAGGATTAGCAACCAAACGATCCAGTCTTGGTCTTTTCATTATATGTCGGTTTCCCACAGCGGGTGCTAGAATCCTCGGCATGCTCAGGTTCAGGAGAAACCACCAACTTGTTACCTTTTCAAGGATATTTTGTGGAAGTACTCTAGATACTCAGGAATATCACTTTAAAAGATATCATTGGGATGTTAGAAAAAGGGCACGAGAAGATGAGGATCAAAGAGATAAGCAACGAACAAGTGCCCTACAAATTGGCATGTTGGCAGTTATCTGTGCTCTTTAGGTGATGTTACCAACCAGCCCCATTCACTGGGCTCCTGTCAGTAGCATACCAATGTTTCCACAGATTTTTAAGCAAAACCTTTACAAGTTTTAAATAGAACACTCACATTTCTGCACGGATCCAGGGACCACAGATTAAGTGTAATATAGAGCCTTCTAGGGCATTTTATTGCGCGACACTGATTATGCTTCCGAACTGGCTTTTCAAAGCAGTAGCTTTGTAGTACTTTTCTAATATCCTGGCTAAAGCTTTGCAGATCTTGCTCTTTGCTCTTCTCCTGATGCAGTTTGAATTCACACTGGGAGTGATGTCACTCGTTGTTACAACGCATAAGCATGCAAGTCTTCTAAACTTACCATAATACTCATTCTGGTTTCTGCATTTTCTTTATTTATTCGCCGTGCCATCAATTCCTTTCCCTCACACTGAAGTGTGAGAGTTTTCAAGGCTTTAACAATCCCAATCTCACCTTCACATACATGTTTCCAGGTTTTTAGGAACTAAGGGATATTCTAATGACTTTCCGAGTAGTTGCAAAAACCCTGACCATGTTGCGTCGGACAAGCAATCTGCAACGAAGACATCAACTTCTGTACTCTATGGTTAGCAACTGTCATCCATACTTTAAAAAAACATTCCATCATTGGGAGAGGTACACATAAAGCAGCCAGGGAACTGTTGGAATCCTACTCAATCGAAAAGAAGGGGAAGGTAGCTGCATCAGCCAAACACCTGATCATTCACATTAAAAGTGAAATTTAGCCGTATTACATGTCGAACCAACAAAGGGCATCTGGCCTGCCCCAGCGAAGTACTGAGAATTAATTTTGACCACCTGGGGATGTATTGCCATGCAATTGAAATTTCGGTTACCATGGTGCCTTCTCCGCAATAAGCCTCCGTCAGACTGCGGGCACCTTGGCCATTCACATGGAAAATAAACTGTGTCCTTAAAGATGTGTTGATTCCGTCATGACATGGGTACTTACTTCTTTGGTGTTTTGACACAGAATGTGTTAAGGGCTGGGGTCCCCAAGGAAATTGTGATGCGACACCGTGATGTCATTGGCATGATGGTCATTACGTGACACCATGACATGACACCGTGCTGTCACAAGACATTATGATGTCACGTGATATCATATTGTCACATCGGGTGATGTGGTCGAGTGACAACGTAACAATCTGCAACTCCTTGACATGACACAGTGACATCATGTCACGGCATGGCCACACAGCCGATTGTGGCATCATACGATGCAAAGTCGTGCGACACCGTGTTCGTGTCCCTCTAACCCAGTAAAAATCAAAACGAGCTGCACATTCCGTCTCTCAACTTCATCCACATATTTAAAAAAAGCTATTTTTTCCAACAAATACTTAACGAGTTCGGCGCTCGTCCCGTTTACTTTTTTTCAATAATCTTTGTCTTTCTGTGGTCGAGCCCAGCGCTCCCCGTGGCCCCCTTACCTGAATTTCCTCGCTGGGCTGGTACTCCTCCTTGAGGCGCTGGCCCTGCAGACGAAGAAGCAGGCATGACTTGCCCACGTTGCGGTCGCCCCGGATCACCAGCTTCACTGCACCGCAGGAGACGGAGACAAGTCAGTTCGTTCAATCACTCGTTCGTTTGTACCGGCATGCGATCATGTATCACTAGTGAGGGATGCTCATTAAAAACCCCACGCTAGCAGTGGTACTGCACTGGCAAAATGTCTTGTCTACAGCTGAGACAACAAACACCCATTAAGGCTGACTAGCTTCTGGCTGTATAAACATGCATACAGCATTATTATTATTATTATAAAGTGGCAAAGACAACCCTCCGTGCGTGATCCAAGGACGGAACGCTTTGATTCGTACGACTGATCTTCATGTGGAGAACTGACAACCGACCGACAATCAGAACTAGATATGCATAGTGTAAACCAGTGGTTCTCGAACGGGGGTATGGGGACCTCTTGGGGTCCCTGAAGGCCTTCTTAGTGTCCGCAAAGCCCTCGATTGTCAGTTGAGCCGAGCAATTAAGTTTCTTAATGATGCTAGCTGTTCAGCAAAACTAAACAGATTGCATCACGTGCACAGAGTGAGTAGGGTAGATTATTCTCCATTTCAGAACTTCAAAGTTGGCTGACATACATTTAGTTTTCTTCATTCACCCTTCTGTCATTTTAATCGTCCAAAACCCTCCTGTAGATGGGGTCCCCCATCTCTTCCACCGATCTAGATGAGGTACCCGAAACATTGATGGTTGAGAACCACCGGTACAAACAGTTCCTCTTTTCATTTCTCTAAATTATTTTGTCCATTTCTCACATCTCTATCCCCCTTTACCGATTTCCATTCTTTCTTTCACCTTTCAAGATCTCCCGATTTGAGATGTCCAAATCACATTTATACGCGGGCATCGGGGCAGCAAGACTACATCACAGCAGTACCATAATGCCCGTGACAGGTGCGTTCGACATACTCCCATTTCCGGCCCCCGGATTTCCACCCAACAACGTCCTGCTTCTGTAGTGCCGTTGCCTGGCACGATTCTAACGGTGACACCCGTTGTGCCGTAGGTTGCTCCACGGTCCAAGAGTTTGTCGCGGAAACTTTAACACCCACGAGACGGACCTCTGCGACGAAAGTGATCCTTGCATTCGCCCGTGTCTTTTACTGGAACTTCGGTGACCAACCACCGGTATAGCACCATTCAAAGTCACGACGTGCCGGCCCCTGCAACGCGACTCATTACCGCTTAGGGACCACTTCCAACGCGCAACAGCTGTGGGACACACAATGCACAGGTCGAAGTTGTGTCCCAGCATACCGCAAGGGCGACACTGGATAGCCGGGCTCCGGTACGAGCGCGACGTGAAATCGACTCACTGTTGTACTGCACCCCTCTGGCGAACCTCTTCTGGAGGCTCTGCTCCATGGTCTGCATGCCGGACGGAGGCTGGGGCTTCCCCCCAGCTGCCTCATTGTTGCCCACCAGCTTCTTGAGGGCCGTCAGCATCCTGCTCTTCCAGAGGCTGCCCGGGTCGGGCAGCACCGACCTGCAACCACACCGGCGGTCAACGCCGTGCGACGGAACACGGAGCCATGGGGAACGCCAAAAGAACCCAATCCGATTCAATCCCTGCCCGACTGGAACCCCGTCATTTGTACAGCCCCACATACCCGCAGATTAAGGCTCAAACTGATGTTTCCAATTGAGTGTGACCGCTAACTATGAGGAAACATGCGGGAGCACTAATGCCATCTACCAGGTAGCTCTTGATCCCTTTCCACCTGCCTGTGACTACACTGAATGTTTTGCGGTATTTGTGAGATCCACTTGCTATCCATGAGAAATGGTCAATTATAACCAGGGTTATAACCAGGGTTTCGAATAAATTCGAAAAACTCTAAAAGAGACACCCGCCAACAAAACTTTAGTCAATTTGGATTTATCCTATAAGCTCTGAATTTTTATGTGTCCAATTCCAAAGTATTGGACTTTCTGAGGTCAAAGTTCATAAATATAGTTAGGTTAAAATTAACTTTTATATGGACAAGAGGAGGCTTGGGAGCAACATTCGCATGCATAGCTGGGTTTTCGTTTAAGCATGGTGCAACAAGGCTCGGAGAAACTATTCAATATTCTATTCAAAAATATTTGGCCAAAACCACTATTCACTTTGAATTTGCTTCAAACTCGAAATCCACTACTCGCACTTGGCTACAAGATGCCCATTTGTGGCTGACTGAACATACAGACAACAGAATTTATAAATTATGTCTCGTGGCATATAAGTACAGCACACATTATTTGCTTTTAAGAAAAGTGCCTTTTGTGTCATATGGGACCTAATTAGGCAGTTTAAATTTAAAATATTTAAACTTTCCAGAGTCTCTTTATGCAGTCAATGCTTCTTTGGTGCACTAAATAAAAATGTATTTGTGGTTCACTTTTTTTATTGGAAAACAAAACCTTTATTGGAAAAATTTAGTGCGCACTGGCCAGGGAAGAAAAAGGTGCACGATTTAAACACAAAATGAGAATAGTGGTTCAAATAGACCCTTTCCGGAATTCAGTCTGGCCACTTTGATCACTATCATCATCATCATCTGAAAACGGCATATGTGCTATACTAATGGCGGCCTTCTATTTACTGATGAAGGAAGAAGTTGAAGATGCTCCTATGCAGATGATTCGAGGCCTATATATTCTCGATGTTAGCGCAACATGAAGCAGGAATCGGACGTAAGAGCTGCGTAAGCGTTCATTTCTAACTCGTTCCCAGTCAATCTGTTAGGAGCACTCACTCGGCCTCAAAGCCCCTTGATGTATAGAACTCTATCAAGGCGTCTATGTGGGTTGGCGGTTCGTTCCAACAGTCTGCATTTGTTTCGCCATTGACACTAAAAGAGATTGAGAAATAATTGTTGTGAAGTGCAGATTCTCGTTTACCGTTGACCTTTAAGTGATGGTGCCCCATTAAATACTGCAGACCACAGGTTCATTGCCGCCATTAGTATAGTAAAAAGATTAACTGCCATTTGAGTCACCAGATGGCACAGAATTCCGGAAAGGGTCTATTGGATAGTGCAGAGTGATACCTAGCTTCAACACTTAAGAGAATCAGTTGTCATGACTTTCCCTAGCACTGCAAAGGCTACGAATGATGATGAAGTGCTATTCTATTTTAATCACTCTTCACAAACCCCTACTAAAAATTCTGTTGTGTTGTTTCAATCCTCAATAAAATTAAAAAAAAAAAAAGTTTATACTGTTATGTTACAGTTATGATGAAGCCTCAGTAATCAATATGTCTAGAGTACTCATCCACAACTAACCTTGAGATTTAGAATAACATATATTTAATCTTTGTTGGAATGCTCAGAGTAGAAATGGAAGTATGAAACCATTTTCTGCAATTTATGATCACTGTGTGCTAGGCACTATGTGCTAGGCACTGTTTGTCAAAAATGAATATCACATCACTAAGTGCAATGTGCACAAACCATTTTATGTATCACAAAGAGCGGACCACCCAAACGAAATCTGACCCTACAGCTTTCACACTGATGTTTTGGCCTTTTTCTGATAACTATTGAAGAGTGGAAGAGGTTGCCAAATTATGTATTCTGTTTGGCTGTCTCTATGTCTTAGTTTTTAGTTTTTCAGTGTGTTTGATTATACTTGATGAACACATTTCTGAAAAACCCACCCCCTGCAATAATGCAGTATGGTAATGGAGATTTGTTTGTAAATAAATAAATAAATAAAAACACCCATTAATAAGACCAAATAATTTACTAGCCCTGGGTAACAGGAAATTCTCCCTCCAAATAATTCTTCAGAAAAACGGTGGCAAGGGATGATACAAAATTCTTCTCCAGCCCGAAGGTAAGTAGATAGATACCCGAAAATACTTGACTTTCAGCCATGGAAGCCATGCAGAAAATTACTGACCACAATGTGTGCATAGCTGGCAACTGACTCAAGTTATGAGTGGTCACTGTACCCCACTGCCCAGGCAACAAGAAGTCAGCATGCCGAAAAAAAAAAAAGAAATAGTTTTGGCAGGTTTGTGCCTGCATTTGCTTGCTACAACACAAGTCTGTAGTGTGTGCACACCTCTAGAGCATCAAAAAGATGTCTGTTAACTCGCAACAGCTGCAGAATGTCCACTTGCATTCAAAAACACTTGAAAAACTAAATTCTAACAATTTTAGATTTTCCAAACAAGCTGATACTTGTGCTACTTACTGAACGAGCATTTTCACAGCTACCCTCTAATATGGATATATGGATAGCAATAGTCTAAATTAATAAAAATTGTCTTTAAAGGAATCGTTTTACATCTTGGCAAGAGCGGACAACTCACACAAAATCTGACCCGACTTTGTCGTAGACTGCCTAAAAATGTATTGATGAGCCTTCAAAGTTATCTTTGATACAAAACTAGCCCGCTTTCGCTTTCTATAGCGTCTGAGGGGAAAATACTTTTTTTCATAATAAATTATGCAATTAAACTTTCACTTTTTTTAACCCAGCCTTTACAATAATGCCCGACGGTAATGCAGGTTACTTTGTAAATATATAAATGAGGTAATCCACAGACCTCTACCTCGAGCTAAGTATAAAAGCTTTCCACAGCTGGTGAAAGAACTGAAGTCCACTCGCGGCACATGCTCCAGGTGAACCTTGGTACAGAATAAATGAAACAGCCCTCTAAGCGTTCCACACAAAAAAAGCCCCAGTGAAAGCTACAGATGTTCTTTGGCCAGCAATAATTGAGTGCAGAGAATGCTGGTATTCACAGTGGGGAAACATGTTTACGTTCAAAGCCCTACAAAATGCCATTCAATTTCAGAACCAACTTCAATACTAACAATTCCAGTAATTCTATTGCTTCCACATTTTTAAGTGCCAAGGAAGTTTTACAAATGTGAGAATGCAAAAAGTGCCCCAAATGCATAAGATAACCAGTGACTCTATATAAGGCGTGTCATCAACTCATTTGCGATTCAATATAAATAACTTGGAAGAATATTCTAGACATGCTTATAAGATATTTTTAAACAATAATAAATTATTATCTATGATGCATCGTCAAGATCTGATAACAAAAAATTTTTTCAATTTTATCCGGTGTCAGTACTTCAAAATTGACCTTATGAAGGCAAAGAACTACAGCCATCTAAGGTAAAATACAATTTCAAGGCACCTTGGTCAGGCATAGTCAATGCCTTGTTATGCTTATCTGAGCACCCCAGAGTGTCACGTGATAGCGCCATGTGACAGCCAGAACAGCCCCCATAAATGTGCCATGTTCTTCAAGTGACATTTGTTCTCTGGCAGGGACGATGTGTAACAAATCCCATTCTCCTCGCGTCACTAAAGCTTTGATCGAATGAACTTTCGCCGGTAACACACATCTGTCCCTTTTGTTCTTGGTCCAAATGAGAAGATTAGGAAAACATGAACCTAAATTGAGTGCACAAATGCAGAACTTGCTCACTCACTACGATCTAAACTGATGTTTTCGGTGTCTCCGCGGGAAATTAGATCAAATAATGGTCAAAGCGCAGCCAAGCTGGTGCACATTAATCACCATGTTTAAATGCTGATGCTGTGAAGGTAACTTGAAGATAAGTTAGAAGGGAACAGAAGAAAGGTGACAGACAAGTGTCAACTTTTGAGACACTTGTCTGTCGCTTTTCTTCTGTTCATTTTTAATTTGTACTCAAATTTTTTTCCTAGTCTCAAGGTTTAAAGATCATGATTGAAATTGGATGGTTCCTTTCCTTCCAGTCATCCAAATGTTAAAGGGGTCATGGAACAAGATAGGGTTGGAATGTTCATGACTTTGCAGAGGCATACTAATTTAGTCTGGCCCAAGTATGCTCGCACAGACCGCCACCAATTTAGAAGCTTCTTTGTTACGGTGAAATTGCGAGGATAAAAGGAAATTATTTCTCTCAGTCTTGTCTCTGCAAAACTTAATGACGTAATTGTGGGATCAAAATCCCCCGCCTGACGACAATTGAGCGTGGCTCATGGATTGGACACGAGAACTGCGTGAGCACTCAACTTCTGCCCGTATCAATGCCTCGATGACACTCGGATATAATGGCTTGTGTCCAACCACTGCGGTGATGAGAATAGCCGAACTCTAACAATGCCTCGTGCTCAGCACACATTTTCTACTGTGACAACCCCAGCGCATGGCGGCATAGGATAGACACCAGGCCATGTGGCAGCTTGTTCTGGCTTCAAGTTGAGGGAATGAATGACGTTCATATTTCTCTCTTTTTTTTTTTTTGCGACTGCCATTGCCTAGAAACAAAAACTAAGGCAAGCTTACTCAATTATTAACGTTAGGGAGTAATCCTAAGTAGTATTTGGTGAAAATAGAAAAATTGCTTCATGGCTTCTTTAAAGCTGTGGCTTCCTTACCTTTAAAAATGCAGCTCGAGAGTCTAACCGCCGAATTCACAAACCTCACTGCAATTGAGGGTCCCCTCCACTTCCTCAAGGAAGGCGCGAGGGCCGGTGCTGGCCAATCGCGACGGCGGATCCATCGTCGCGATTGGCCAGCGCCGACTCTCGCGCCTTCCTCGAGGAAGTGGAGGGGCCCCTCAATTGAAGTGAGGTTTGTGAATTCGGGCATTTCATTTCGAAGTATCGGGAGAAAATATTGAGTCTTGCTGATTTCAACCAAAAGTTAGTGGGGAGAGAACTTCAAGTGCAATAAGATTTTACATTTCATTTTTTTTAATTGATTGCAGAGGCCTTTACATGTGGGAAGGGGACAAAATATCAAGATATATGTCAACTAACACCAAGGAAAACTACAGTAAAGCAACGGTCAGGCTGTTACATATCAAACGAGGCAGCGAGTGCATTTCGAAAACTGGAAGGGACCTGTGAGTAATAATTGAAAACAAGCGTGTTAGTGAATACATACGAATACTTGAAAGGATAAAACATCGAGGACGGGGATGGAAACAGGACTTCTTTCATTGAGCAACCACATAGATTGGCACAAACTATAAAACCGCCCCCCAAAGGTTTCAACGTTCTCGAAGAAGAAAAGGGAATTTACTACAAATATAAAAGTTTAAAAAGCACTGTTCACAGCCACACATGCAATGACTGTACACCTTATGTATCTGAAACTAGAATACTGGGTGGGCACAACAACAGATTTCGGAGAGAAATCATTTGCCATAGAGACTTTCAACAACAATATTTCTGCACCTTAAATATCACTGACAATGACAGAGGTCAGTTTTCTTGCACCAGAGATAACTAGGTTACTGATACCTCGTCGTGACGCCACCGCTTTTTAAACTTTTACATTTATAGTAAATTCCCTTCACTTTTTAACAATTTTCTTCTTTCCTTCTTTGAGAACGTTGAAACCTTTTGGGGGCGGTTTTATAGTTTGTGCCATTCTATGTTGTTGCTCAATGGGGGAAGTCCTGCATCCGTCCCTGTCCTCAGTGTTTTATCCTTTCAAATATTCGGACCTGTAAGGTTACAATAGGGCATGGGAGCGAATTCTATTCCAGTCGGAAACTGACAACTGCACTGGAGATTTTAACAAAGAGCTCCTATTATTATTATTATTGTTATTGACGGTAATTTTGGCTGTTTTCGCGACCCAGGGTAACCACTATTACAGTGAGATACGAGCTGCTAACTAGAGAAGGAACACAATTACTGTTTTTGCTACCACGTCCCCAAAGATCACACGACAGGGTGGACCCCCGGTCGTCGTTACTGTGTGCTAAAACACAGCGATGAGCAATACGCCCTTTAAACAGCGTGACACGGAGGGACCGCACTGTCTCCCATTTTATCTATGGCAAGAAGTTTGACAACTCGTCACCGAGCAATCGGAAAGCAAACACGGAAATGGGGCAAGGAGACGAGCGTGATGATTGCACTCCGTCCGTTGATCCTTGTCAGGCTACTACCGTGCATGGGGCACGGCCGGGTTTAAATCGTTCGAGTACGTGAGCCTTCGGCACAAAGTAATTAAAAGAGAGCTCCCACGTATCCAGATGCTCGAGATAGATTCGAAGTCAGACAGCCATACTCACAGTCCGTCCTTTACGCAAACACCGACGACGCTGTGCTGCACGCTGGTAACTGAACATCACATCTCCGTGAATTCAGATGACTTGTGTACCTCGACGACATCTTACACGTTGATCGACGGCTTCCGTATGCCCGTCTGAAGTCCCTTATAATTTTGCTATTTCGATAGAAGAGCTACATACAGCGCCATTTTGGAAGAGCGCAGCGACATCTGCTCTTGTCATCTCGACATGCCACAAACGAAACTAAAAAAAAAAAAATTAAAGTCATTTAAAGCGAAAAGTATTGTAAAGCATTTTTAAATAATGTTACCTAAAATCTGGTTTTAAAGTTGTACTGCGTAATAAGATTTATTATTTACCTAAGCAGCTGAGCATCCATACTTCAGATTATTTGATCGGGTTAAATGTACTAGCTCTATATCCTCTATATATCTATGTTATACTAAATGTTTACTTTTTAAAAACTGCCAAGCGATTTTTAACTTATATAAAATGTTAAAAAAGGAAACGTTGAAAAAAAACTAACAACCTTTGGCTTGCTCTGGCTGATATGAAGTTGTCTCTGCTCTAACTTCTAAAGTTGACTTTTTTGACTATACCACGAGCAAAACATGTTGGGAAGCAGAACCGGCAAAACGGTGAGATATCTGAAGCTGAAACTGCCGATATTCACTTCCTTACAATTGCATTCTTTCTTAACCATTGTATTTAGTTGATAGCCACATTTCTGAATGAGATAGACGTTTTAGTAAGTTGTTTGCTCAAACCGTTGAAATCGGGAAAGCACCTCGGGAGAGGCAGACGACAAAATGCTGGAGATTTTCTGTCGACCTTTTTCGACGATAGTTTGTGAGAAAGTTCTTTCTCAGAAGTGAAGGTGCCCTTTTTCCGCATTTCTTAGCTCTTGTCTGTGACTCCTGCTAGCTGTCTATACAAAACAAATAATGCCGCACACGAAAAAAAATATATATATTGATTTTGTGAGGCAATAAACTATTGAGCCTTCCGCGAAACAGCACGATTTTCAAGGGACGTCAGTGAGTCGTTAGAGGCGTGGAGAGGCGCGTCCTCTCTCCCTTTCTTGTTTTCAAGAAGGACAACAGCAGCAGAAGTCTTGATTGACAGCCAGCAAAGAGGGAGATAGGCTGCATCCTAAGGCCTACTTCATGAGCTTCCAACGACGCAAGTGGCAACGTTACTAGATTACCCCAGTTGTGGAACTCCCGCAGAAGGGGTACCCAACTCACTCCCTTTAGTTCGTCTCCCGCCATTTGAAACATCATCAAGATTTTTGTTTTAAAACTGTGTGTTTCATAAAGTATGCTGAAACTCTATCTAGATGTTGTGCTTCGAAACATAAATATTCCATAGAATACGCTGCAGTCAACACAGCAGCCGTCTCCCAAAAGCGGTGGCACGTCGAGCGACGCAGAGCGAGCCGTGGGGGGGAGAGGGGGTGTAGCTCGTATAGGTAGCATCTGTGGGCAGTTCCGTAATTGAGCCAATTTAGTAACGTTGGCCAGGGGTCACTCTTCCCTCCAACAAAAATTGTTCCAAAGTGTAGCACAGTAGTGAGTTGGGCTAGTTGGTGTTTTATTTTAAGAGGGTAAAAACAGCGTAAAAACAACACGGACAGAGAAGCTAGGTGTACACACACACACGCAGCGCTGACTTTCAACTGTTTAATTGCTGAAAAAAGACGCCTACCATCATGCCCACATACATCCAATCAAATCACGTGAGTCAAGTCATATTCACTGACCATTTCGCCTAAAACCGCTGATAAACGCAAGTTCGCAGTCATATAAACAAATAGAGGGAGAGCTGACACACTTATCATTCTACATCGAAATAAAGAATGCTTCCGTAATCTCTCTAGTCGTCTTCTGACGATGTTTTGCAAGAATCTCGATATCGATTAAAACAGGGGTGCACCCGTACTATCACAATGCACCGCCAAGTTTCCTGACAGTGACGGCTACATAGAGCACGCATGTTTTCGCAATCTGTCGTTTACACAACAGCCTGTTTAGCCGACATATACCTTTTTACACGTCAGCGGAATACAATATACCACCCCACCCACGCAAGAAACAAGCTTGTTTTTATGCTGTTTAACACAACCAGGGATATAGGGTTCCGACCTCTGTGTAAACGACAGATGGCGGGAGCATGCGTGCTCGATGAAGTTGTCACCGTCAGGAAACTTGGCGTTGCATTGTGATAGGTGCCGGTGCACCCTTGTTTTAATCGATACCGAGATTCTCGCAAAGCATTGTCAGAAGACGACTAGAGAGATTGCGGAAGCATTCTTTATTTTGATGTAGAATGATAAGTGTGTCAGCTCTCCCTCAATTTGTTTATATGACTGCGAACTTGCATCATCAGCAGTTTTTGACGAAATGGTCAGTTGATATGATGTGACGTACGTGATGGGATGTGAATGGATGTATGTATGTGGGCACGACGGTGGGCGTCTTTTTTCAGGAAGTGAACAGTTGAAAGTCAGCGCTCTGTGCACGTTCATCTTCTCTGTCCATGTTTTCCTTGTGCTGTTTTTACTCTTTTAAAACGTTCCAGAGTGAACTATAATTAAGCGGAGGAAAACCTGCACACTTCCATCTGGAAAAAGTTGTGCACGACACATGTCGAAGCAAATCACATATAGGGTGTCCCAAGTCACCAGGCTCGATATAAAATGGACCATAAAAATCAACGCCTTCACATATCAATCTAAACTTTTCGTCAAAGGTGTATCTCACAGGTCGGTTTTTTCTTGTAAAATTGCAAAGCCTAGCCCTCTTTTTGTAAAAAAATAGGGCCATGAAACTTGCCAGGGTCAAAGGCAAGCGGCGACGCAGACGACCAAGTCGAGTAGCGGGGTGGGTTTGGTGCTCGTATTGATAGATGGCGCTACCTCCTGAACGAGACTGCTCGCAACCACCACGGGTTATTCAAATGAACATAATCTTTTTGAAATGTACCATTGGTTAAAAAATAAATGCGAACAATAAAAGCAAAACTCAAAGGAAAAAAAAATGTATTTGCATAATGACGGCGCTTTTGTTGCCAACGGATTTGGTCTGCGTGTCGTCTGCTTTCTTTCGCTGGTCGGCTACACCTTCGGGCGCTGCTCCAGACGCCATCTATCAGTATGTGCACCAAACGCACCCCCCGCAACTCAACTCGGTCGGCTGCGTCGCCGCCCGCCGTTGAGCCTGGCAAGTTTCTTGGCCCTATCTTTTACACAAAGAGATCTACGCTTTGTAATTTTACAAGAAAAAACCGACCTGTGAAATACACCTTTGACAAAAAGTGTAGATTGCTGCTTGCAGGCGTCGATTTTTACGGTCTATTTTAGATTGAGCCTGGTGACTTGGGACACCCTATATATAAGATGTCTGAAATGCCGAGGTTGGATCTACAATGGGTCGTAAAAATTGGCACCTGCACATAGCAATCTAAACCTTTTGTCAAAGGTTTATTTCACAAATTGGTTTTTACCTTGTAAAATTACAAGGCGTAGCTCCCTTTCTGTTAATGGGCCAAAAAACTTGCCAGGGTCATTGGCAGACGGCGACACAGACGACAGAGTCGAGCGGCGGGGCCTGTTAGGCACACATATTGTTAGATGGCATTGGACGATACTGCCGGCCAGTGAAAGAAAGCAGACAACGCGCAGATGAAATCCGTCGGCAGCAAAAACGCCGTTGTTATGCAACCGCAATTTCTTTTTTTGTCTTTTTCAAGTTTTGCTATCATTGTCTGCATTTGTTTTTAAACCAAAGGTACATTACAAAAAGACTCTGTGTATTTTTATAGACTGCAATCGCCGCAAGCAGTTTCAATCTTTTTTTTTAAAATTTAGCAGGTAGCACCATCTATTCATACATGTGCCAAATGCGTCCCGCACTCAACTCTGTCGTCTGCGTCGCCATCTGCTGTTAACCCTGGCAAGTTTTCTTGACGCTATATTTTTTACAAAAAGGGAGCTATGCCTTGTAATTTTACTAGATGAAACCCACCTGTGAAATACACCTTTGACGAAAAGTTTAAACTGATACGTGCAGGCGGCAATTTTTACGGCCCCTTTTAGATCAAGCCTGGGCATTTCAGATGCCCTATACTTGTGGGATGTGCTTATGGCACAATCTCCCGATAGACGAAGCAGGTGGCGGCAGTCGGTTGAAAGCAGACAATGCCCTCGTATGCTTATTGCTGTGTCTCTCGGAAGATGGCGCCACAGGCACAATCCTCGGTTAGTGTGCCTACTATGAGTCAGCATGTTTCCGATTACTCGATCAGCCCTGGTCACAGGGTTTTTGAGCTGTTTTTGCCATACAAGTTACAAGGAGGAGGCAAGAGCTTCTGTCGTTTGCAAGCGTATCTAAGCTTTGCTCATCCTCACAGCCTGCTATGTTCCTCACCAAGTGCCAACGCATGTGCAAGAGGTGTCCATCATTAAATCGCAAACTCTCCATGGTTTGAGTTGTTCCCTCTTTTAAATCTAGACTCCCTATCCTCGCACAACTTGGCCGTCTGCGTCGGCGTCCGCCATTGAAAATGTCAGGAGTATTACAGTCAAATTTTTCACGAGAAGGGCTTGAGCTACACTTGGAAATCTTGCAACGATAAAATGTAGTGTTAAAATACACCTTTGGTGAAAGTTTGAGCTCGTTACATGCAGGCGCCGATTTTTCTGGGGTATTTTTCGAGTGAGCCCCTCGATTTATGATTCCAGCATGTTCATTGTCTGTATGTTAACTGCTTGCAGATTGGCCGCTTTGCAAACAAGTGTGCCAAGTACTGGCAAGAGACGTCGCAAGGAAGACAGCAACACCTGAGCAGCGTCAGGCAACCCAGGAACATTGGAGTTGGCGGTTACTCCCTCCTGGTGAGCGGCAGCGCCACTACGTATCTGGGTCATCTTGAACAGCAGACCGGTCATTATATTTGCGTGTCCATCCGTTTGAGCAAACACGATGTTGCACAGGTGTGGCATCTCCAACAAGAATTGTCATTTTATTCCATTTGCGAGGCATAAGGGCAACAAATGCCTCATTGCGATGCAGGTTTTTCTTGTAAATTAAAAACCGGAGCTGTTACTTCCAAAGTATTCCAGGTTCTATTTTGACTTCCTAGACATAATTACACTAACATCGAAGCATCTGCAAAAAAAGTTTCAAAGCATGTCTTGATCGTATCTGATTAAT